GCTTAACTTCGCCGTGATAAGCGTAGTATTTTTTTTTCTTTTTTCAAATTATACGCTCCTTTTTTTTATATATACATATATATTTTTTTTTTGTTTTTTTTCCTCACATGTACGTTTTCAATAATATTTTCCGATATCCTCTCTGAGGGAGTATTGGAAAAGCATTGGATACTCTGGGTTTCTTTAAAACATGGGATCTGATGGATGATGGAATTGGGATAGAGGGGGATTAATCATCTAGGATGTTAAATTATAATTAGGGGGATATAATTAAGATAATCCATTAATAATTACGAAAAGAAAACAACAAGAAAATAGAATAGTATTTCGATGGTTTTCGGTTTAATATCGTGCGGCACTTTTTTTTTTAATCCTTTTTATTTATACTTAGTATAAGTACTCCTCCTCGAATTTTATTCTTTTGGCTTACTTTTCACTTTCTTTCTCCTTTTCTTTTTATCTTTTTCTAAATTAATTCCATTCTTTTTTTGGCATTTTTTTCTCTTAGTTATATTTTATTATATCCATTTTTCTTTCTCTCTCGTTTCCTTGCAATGCATCCAATGCAAACACACAATGAACGCCTGCACATCAGATCAGAAACAAAAAAAAGGAAAACTGCACGCTACAATTCCTAAAAAAATCAGCGCACTAATTATATATATATATAATATATATATATATCTTTTTTTTTTCATTTTCATTTCTTTCTCTTCAGAAAAGTTCACATAAAATTATCAACAAGCTACAAACGGAATCTCATTGACTACGTTCTCGGTACTTTATTCCCTCTTTTATCGCACGCGTTTTCATCGTCAAACGCTGCATGAACATATACACCTTTTTTTTTTTCTTTCTCTATTTCGCTTCTTTTTCTCCTTTTTATTTGTCAAAAGGTTAATAATAATAATTATCTAAATGAAGGTTTAATTCTTTCGTCTCGCTTTGTTCGCGTTGCAACCGTTATTTATTTATTTATTTATTTATTTATTTATTTTATTTATTTGTTTGTTTTTAACTTTGTTCAACGACAACAGGGGATACATTTTTTTTTTT